TTTTCGCAGAGGATTCTCGCGACGGCACACGCGCAAGGGCGTTCGACAGATTTCGGCATGCGCGCGCGAAGCCCGTTTAATAGCATTTTGTGAAAATCCAGAAAGAAAACTATGGTTTTTTTCAGATTTCGCAAGAGCTCGCGCGTAAGCTTTTTTACCAAATCAGTGTTGCGAATCCCTGTGTTTTTGAACGTGTTTTGGGGAAATCGATTGCGAAATCCTTCCGGCACCGAAAGTTTTTGAAGGATTTCGGCATGCGCGCGCAACGACGCGCGCGTGCGCAATTCGTCCATGTTTTGCAAGGGATTGGCGAACAAATGTTATGCTACAATCACAAATGGCACCGCATAGTTTTCTTTTTTTCCAGGGAACCTCAGGGGGGGGAACCTGGTTGGCCTGGGTCGTTGTGATTTCATATTTAGGATGGACATGTGGTCAGAACCAGATGTGATTTACATACCCGAAAGAGGTAGCGATAGCTCTTGGCGGGGGGGTAGAGTCTATTCTCTGTTCAGGAAGGAGAATTGACTACCCTGCACCGCGCCTGACCACCTCCACTGCTCGCGCAAGCATCCCACCCACCCACCCGCAACTTGGTTTGCAAAATCTCTTCGTGGTGTAAGCTTTGTGGTGCAGCTATGGTGCAGCTATGTAAGCTTCGTGGTGTTAGGTGGTACGACTTTCGTGGTGTAAGCTATGTGGTGCAATGGACTACCCTGCGCCGCGCTTGACCACCTCCACTGCTCGCGCAAGTATCCCACCCACCCACCCGCAACTTGGTTGGCAACATCTCCTAAGACCGTGGCGGTGGGTACCAAATGGCACTTGGCAACGACAGCGACGCCGACGATGACAGCGACAACGACGATGACGACGCCGCCGACAACGGCTACGACGACACCGACGACGACGACTACGACGACACCGACGACGTCTCCAACGACTGCGGCGACGCCGACAACGACGACGACGACACCGACGACGACGACGCCGACGACGACGACGACGATGACAACGACGACGACGATGACGACGCTGACGTCGACGACAACGACGACACAGACGACAACGACGTCAACGACGCCGACGACGACGACGACGAACGCGGCAACGACGACGACGACGACGTCGACGACGACGAAGACGACGACGACGCCGACGCCGACGACGACGATGAAGACGACGACGACGACGACGACGTCGCCAACGAAGACGACGACGAGGGAGGAGGGAGGACGACGACGGCGACAACGATGACAACGACGACAACGACGAGGGAGGAGGGAGGACGGCGACGACGCGAACGACGAAGAAGGAGGAAGGACGGCGACGCCGACGACGACAACGACGAGAGAGGAGGGAAGACGACGACGACAACAACGACGACGACGACGACGACGACGAAATAGGAGGGACGACGACGAGACGCCGACGACGGACGACGACCACGACGAGGGAGGAGTAAGAAGGACGACCACGGCGACAACGACGATGGAAACGACCACGACGCCAAAGAGGACGACGACGACGAACACGAGGAAATACAGAGGACGACGTAGGCGACGACGACGACGACGCGGGAGGAGGGAGGACGGCGACGACGACGACGACGACGCAAGAGCGCGCGCGCGCGTTTTTGTTGAAAATCCGTGGTGCGAAACCTTGTTTTTTGTAGGTTTTTTGGACACACGATTTTGAAATTCTTCCGAAACCGATGGGTTTTGAAGGATTTCGGCATACGCGCGCGACGACGCGCGCGTCTGCATTCCGTCCCATTTGTTGCAGAGGATTTTTCGCGACGGCACACGCGCAAGGGCGTTCGACAGATTTCGACATGCGCGCGCGCGAAGCCGTCTGGTAGTGTTTTGTGATCCGATGGTTCTCTTCAGATTTCGTGAGAGCTCGCGCGTGAGCTTTTTTAGCAAATCAGTGTCGCGAAGCCCTGTGTGTTTTTATATGCGTTTTGGAAACTCGATTGCGAAATCCTTCCGGCACCGAAGGTTTTTGAAGCATTTCGGCATGCGCGCGCGACGACGCGCGCGTGTGCATTTCGTCAAAGTTTTTTGTAAGGGATTCGTGAAAACTTTTGATTTTTGATAAACGAGTGTGCGCGCATAGTTTTTTGTTTCCAGAGGATGGCGGGGGGGGCCGATACCGGTTCCCCTGGGATTGTGCACGCCCCCCGCGCCCCGTTCTCGGCCCTCCTGGAACTCTACCGGCGCCGCCCCGTCTTCCAGAGCTCCGCCCCGGCTTGCCCCCGGCTTCTAGACTTTTAGGGGCGCCCCTGTCTTCTAGAATTTTACCGGCGCCCCCCCTCCGTGGTCGGTCGGTCCGTCGGTCGGTCGTCGTCGTCGGTTGGGTTCGTCGTCGGTCGTCGGTCGTCGTCGCCGGTCGGTCGGTCGGTCCGTGCCCGCTGTGTGGTCGATCGGTCGCGGGGCGATCGGTCGGTCGGTCGTCGGTCGTCCGTCCTCGATCGTCGGTCGTCGGGCGATCGGTCGCTCGTCAAAGTCGTCGGTCGTCAAAGTCGTCGGTCGTCGGTTGTTCCGTCGGCGGGCGTCGGTGGGTTGGTCGTCGGTCGTCGGTCATCGGTCGTCGGTCGACCGGTCGGTCGGTCGTAGGTCGGTCGGTCGTTGATCGCGCGTCGTCGGTCGTCGGTCGTCGGTCGTCGTCGGTCGTCGGTCGTCGGCCGTCGGATTCGGTCGTCGGCCGTCGGTCGTCCGCTCTCGGTCCTCGGTCCTCGCTCCTCGGTCGTCGGTCGTCGGTCGTCGGTCGGTCGGTCGTCGTTCGTCGGTCGTCGGTCGGCGGTCGTCGGTCGGGCGTCGTCCATCGTATGTCGTCGGTCGTCGTCGCTCGGTCTTCGGTCGTCGGTCGTCGGTCGGCGGTCGTCGTCGGTCGGTTGTTACATGTTCGTCGGTCGTCACTCGTCGGTCGATCGGTCGGTCGGTCGCCGGTCGTTCGGTTGTCGGTCGTCGGTCGTCGTTTTGCGGTCGGTCGCCGGTCGGTTGTCGGTCGTCGGTTGTCCGTCGCACGTCGTCGGTCGTCGGTTGTCTTTGCTCGGTTGTCGGTCGTCGGTCGTCGGTCGGCGGTTGTCTGTTGTCTGTTGTCGGTCGTCGTTCTGCGGTCGGTCGCTGGTCGGTTGTCGGTCGTCGGTTGTCCGTCGCATGTCGTCGGTCGTCGGTTGTCTTTGCTCGGTTGTCGGTCGTCGGTCGTCGGTCGTCGGTCGGCGGTTGTCGGTTGTCGGTCGTCGGTCGTCGGTCGTCGGTCGGTCGGTTGGTCGTCGGTCGTCGGCCGTCGGTCGTCGGTCGTCGGTCGACCGGTCGATGGATTCCGGCCAAGAGTGTTTTTCTTACGCGCCGAGAGGGTTGACCTACCTTCACAGCTCTAGAGCCCTGGCCGCCGCGGCTGCGCGGGCCGCTTCGCAGCGCCGCCGCAGCCGCACAAACCCCCGCCCTCGCCGCGTCCGCCGGGCGAGGGGTCCGCCCGCGCCACGGGCTGCTGCCGCCACCGCGTGCCGCCACCCACCGCGTGCCGCCGGCGAGACCGCCGCTCCAGCCTGCCTGCACACGGCGGCCGCTGCCCGCCGCCTGCACGCCTCGAGGGGCGCTCTCCCTCCCCCGCCGCCGCCCTTCGGCGGCGAGCGAGGAGGGGAAGCGAGGAGGAGAAGGCCCTCTCGGAAGACTCCGAAGTCCCCCCTGGCCTCCCGTCCGGGCCTCCTATATTGTTGGCCCTGTTTTCCACCACCACCACCATAAGTTGGAGGGGGGCACAAGGAGGAGGAGGAGGAGGAGGAGGAGGAGGAGGAGGAGGAGGAGGAGGACCCCCTCCCCCTCCAACTTATGCTGGTGGTGGTGGTGGAGAATAGGCCCATCATAGATGAGGTCCGAGAAGATGGGGTTGGAGGATCGCGCCACATCGCCGATGCATCGGCGATGTGGCTGGATGTGGAGCCCGTGATTCCCCACGCCTACGGCGCCGATGCATCGCCGACGTTGCCGATGCATCGTCGATGCAACGGCGATGCGGCGCGATCCTCCGACCCCATCTACTCGGACCCTATATAGGAGGCCTCTAGAGACGCAGAACACCTCTCAAAAGGCGCGAGGGCTTCTGAGAAACCCTGCCGCCTTCTGAGAAGATGTTATCCTTCTTGCTTTCCCCCCCTCGCTCGCCGTGCAGCCTGGTCCAGTAGGCTATGCATGACGGCCCGCCCTCGCTGCTGGGGCTCGCCTGGGAGTCGGCTCGGTAGTCCACGGGAAGGCCTGGCGCACGCGAGCTGCCGGCGTTTGCTCGTGGCACGTTTTTGTTTTGCCGCATGTTGGCCAGTTCGTTGTTCGGTACACCCCCGTCTAGCTCTATCGACGAACCAACAACACACACCCATACCCATAGGGGGGTCGGAGAGGGCTATGGGTGCGTGTTGTCGGATGGGGGTCCCCGCTCGAACGGGAGCGTGCCCCAGGGTCCGACAACCCGCACCCATACCCATAGCCAGTCCTCCTCCCAACAACCGCCCCTATGCGTATGGGTGTGTGTGTGTGTTGTTCGTTCGTCATCTATCGCTGGTGCAGCCAACTCTGCCTCTCCGCCGACGGCAAAGCTTCTGTGCCGTCTTTCTCGGGTCGCCTCCCGCGGTCGCTCCCTTCCTGCTGCCTGCCGCCACGGCTTCGACCCTGCGGTTGCAGCAGGCCGCCCCTGCGCACTCTTCGGGGCCCCGGCTGCCAGTGGAGCGCCAGACGCTCTCGTCCCTCCTGGTGCGGGCGGGAGGGAAGGGTGAGGGACGAGAGTGATGGGCCGGAGGGGAAGCGGGAGGCCGTTCATCCGTAGTGCGTGGCTGTGTTTGTTTAGATTTGCCCTCGGAGACGGGAAGATGGAGGACGGACGTGTGCGATGAGGGACGGCCTGGAGGGAGGCTGAGTGGCAGGAAAAGAAGGGGAGGCGGAAAAAGAGGGTACGAGGGACGTGGAGGAATGAGCCCCCCTTGCTGTCGAATGGTCTCTCAGGAGCCAGAGGCGCTCAAGGAGGAGCTCGCCCAGCTGCGCACGAGCGACACCAGACCTATCGTCTACCCGCCCGTGCCCAAGGCTGGTGGATGCACACACACACATACATACCTATACGACCACCCTTCGGGTGATAAGGAGGTTCGGGGGGGGGAGGAACTAACGTCTCACTCGATCGGTCTCACTATCGATCTCACTATCGGTCTCGCTCGATCGATCTCACTCGATCGATCTCACAATCGATCTCACTCGATCTATTTCATTCGATCGATCTCACAATCGATCTGACTATCGATCTCACCATCGATCTCACTATCGATCTCACTATCGATCCCACAATCCATCTCACATTCGGTCTCACAATCGATCTCACTATCGATATCACAATCGATCTCACAATCAACGTCATCATCATCAACATCATCGTCATCAACGTCATCAACATCGTCACCATCATCATCACCATCATCATCACCATCATCGGGACACCATCATCATCACCTCATCACCATCATCATCAACATCATCATCACCATCTTCATCATCGGGACACCATCATCGTCACCATCATCATCATCATCAACATCCTCATCATCAGGACAGAAACATCATCACCAGCATCGGAACATCATCATCATCCGCATCATCAGCATCATCATCTCATCATCATCATGAACAACATCATCAACATCATTGTCGTCGGGGCACCATCATCATCATCATCATCATCATCATCAGCAACAGCAACATCATCATCAACATCATCATCATCGTCACCATCATCATCACCATCGGGACACCATCATCATCGTCACCATGGCCATCATCACCATCATCATCATCATCATCATCATCATCGGGACACCATCATCATCATCATCATCATCATCATCATCATCGGGCCACCATCATCAAAATCATCAAACTCATCATCACCACCTCCCTCATCATCACTATCACCATCATCGGGACACCATCGTCGTCATCATCATAAGCACCATCAGCATCGTCATCGGGACACCATCATCATCATCATCATCATCATCAACGTCATCATCAGCCTCATCATCACCATCATCATCATCGGGACACCATCATCATCATCATCTTCATCATCATCATCAGCATTATCACCATCATCATCTCATCATTTCATCATCATCAACATCATCATGATCACCATCGTCATCATCATCGGGACACCATCATCATCAGCAACATCAGCCTCATCAACATCATCATCAACATCGAGACACGATCATCACCACCATGGTCATCATCATCACCATCATCATCATCATCATCATCATCATCGGGACACCATCATCATCACCACCATTTCCATCGTCATCATCGTCATCATCATCATCAACATCATCAACATCATCATTATCATCATCCTCATCATCATCATCATCAGCAACAGCATCATCATCATCATCCTCATCATCATCATCATCAGCAGCAGCAACAACTTCTTCATCATCATCATCATCATCATCATCATCATCATCATCATCATCATCGGGACACCGGCGGGACACTGGCGGGCCACCGCGGGCCACCGGCCCCCGGAGAGGAATCATTTGGTCCGGCCGCGCCTCGGCCGGAGGCGGGACACCGGCGGGACACCGCGGGCCACCGGCCCCCGGAGAGGAATCATTTGGTCCGGCCGCGCCTCAGCCGGAGGAGACTTTCTCTCGCCCGCCCACGCAGCTTCACCTCGCCCGCACGCACGGCACGCACGAACACGAAACCGAAACCGATTTCCCGGTAGGGGGGCTCTCCGTTCCACTTCGATCTCACCCCCTCACCTCCGATGTACATGTGTACACATATTTGTATATATATATGAATACATATAGATATATAGATATGTATATATATATATATACACACGTAGAGATACACTCTGCATATGTTTGGCTAGGCCTGTAAGCGTGTGTATAAATTGACGTATATATAGATATACAGATATAGCTTCATCCTTCCTCTTTTCCCATTCCGCTCCCTCCCTCCCATCTATTCCCCTTCCTCGCCTCCGCTCGTGCATTCCTCCGTCTCGCTCCAGGCACGCAGCGGGCGAGCTCCTCTTTCGGAGCTCCTTGAGCTGTCTTGGGGCGATCCTGGGGACCTCTTGGGTCGTCTTTGAGCGTTGGGAGACCGAGAAGGCGAGAGCGCCAAGAAGCATTCAAAACGGAGTCACAGTCACTTATGATTGCCTCGTAGACCGTCGTGTGGACTCGTGGGGGTCCTTTTAGGCACCCCTTGGGCCAGCTTGGAGGCCTATTGGTCAGTCTTGGGGCCATCTTTAGCGTTTTGGACCGGTGTTGCCGAAAGAGAGCCACAATCGGCCCGAGTACGACCCCAAAGCGAACCAAGGACGCAGTCTGACCCATGACCCCTCCCGGGCCCCCCCCCGCGAGAACCCCACTTGGGACCCCCCCGTCCACCGGCGGGAAAGGATCAAAGAGAAAGGGTCTCCCTTCGACTCGAGTACGGCCCCGTTCGATTCACCTCGGGTTGGAGAGGTTGGACAGCTGAAGGTTGCGGCTGGGAAGGGAGGAGCAGTTTCGACTCGAAGAGCGTCTCCATTCAGCATTCACGCCGACAGGCCCAGCGGATTCCCAGGTCCTGTCTTCACGTAGTATGTGCGTGCGGCCAAAGTTTCCTCGGGAAAGTCTGAAACATCGCATTGCCCATGAAACGTTCCGATCGTGGCCCAGATCGGCGTCTGGCTCCAAGTGTGCTCCGAGGCCTTGCATGCAGGCTGCGCCGGTAATACTCGACGATTGAACAGCCGGACGAGTGAACAGCCGCAGACGGTTAGGAGATGGAGGAGGGAGGGGGGAGGTATAGAGGGGAGATGGAATGAAAATAAGGATGGGGCTCGTCAGCTCCGTGATAGTATTCTCCGATCGGCCCAGACCGCCGACGCATGGCAGGGCGCTGCCTGGGCGCCGGAGACGCCCAGGGCGGGGAGCGACGAGGCATGCGGAGGGTGGGGGGGGGGGCTGGCCGAGGCCCACGTGCTGGCCAGGCCGTGTTCCTATGCGAGGCCAGCCCGACCAGATGATTACCTCAGGTCTTGAAGCTCAGCGTGCAGACGCGCGGCGGCGAGCGAGGGGGGGAAATGAAGAGGAGCATGCCTTCTCGCACGGCGGCGGAACGTCTCAGAAGCCCTCGCGCCTGCTGAGAGGGGGAAGGGAGGCCGGGGGACTTCCGAGCCCTCTTGGAAGGCCCTCTCCTTCTCTTCCCCCAACAAGCTCGCCGCCGAGACACGGCGTTGCCGTCATCCCAAACTCCCGACGTCATGATTGTTCCATAACGTCGAGTGGAGGTCTCGACCACTCCCCAGGACCTGTTGTTGATTCTGGGCAGTTTCTTGACGGTACCGAGGCCCAGTCAGGGCCTCCAGAGGCCCCCAAAAACGAAACACCTTCCGTCGTGGTGTATGTTTGCTGTTGACTCGAGGGAGTCTGGGATCCGTCCTCTCTCCGCGCAGGCCGACCTGACCAGATATGTCATCCCGGGCAGCCTGGTGTGCAAGTCCAGGGCCACCATGCCCAAGCCCGCGCCGCCAGAGCTCAGGCGCCGCGCGGCTCTTTGGGCGGGGGCTCTGGGCGGCGCCCGAGCTCGCTGGCTTTCCGGGAGGCGGAGGGAGGAGGTCAGGAGCGGATTGGGCTTCAGTCGGGCCTGTCCCTCTAGAGGAGGAGTATTCAAAAATAGAACAATAGTCGGGGGACAATTTCTCGATTCTTTTAAAACTACGCTTGAATCTGTTTGGGGTATTTCTAATGATTCGTCCAAAATCCGCCTGTAGGAGGACAGGCCCGACCTAGAACTGGGCGGAGGAGCTGGAGCCAGAGCTTGAGCAGGCGGACGGGCGTTGGGCGCGAATTCATGGTGGTGCGATGAACGGTTGGGGGAAAGCTTCCCTTCTCGGGCCCCGAAAGGCCCCCTTCAGGGGGCCTAAGGGGCTCCTTTTCTGCCGCCCTCGCTGCCCCTCCATTTATCGCCGTCCATCTGTCGCTGCCCAATGGAGATCACCCTATGCCCCTGAGATTCACAGGGTGGGGATCATCAATTTCTGGGTCCAGGGAGGATAATCATATTTTGCCTGGCAGGTCGCAGCAGGAAGGACGTAGAGGAGGAGGATGCGGATCTTGATATTGTTGTGGAAGAAGCAGAAGATGATGATGATACTGCTGATGATGATGATGCTGCTGATGATGATGATGATGATGATGATGATGATGATGATGATGATGATGATGCGGATGATGATGCTGATGGTGCTGATACTGATGCTGATGCTGATGCTGATGATGTTGGTGATGGTGATGGTGATGGTGACGGTGATGGTGATGGTGATGATGATGAATACTAGATGTCGATAAAGGGGGATGGGTAGGTTTTGGAGGAGCAGATAGTCGTACTACTACTACTACTACTACTACTACTACTACTACTACTACTACTACTACTACTACTACTACTACTACGACTACTACTACTACTACTACTGCTGATGTTGCTGCTGCTACTATTACTGCTACTACTTCCATCAGTTCCCGTACTAAAGGGATTAGTAGTAGTCGTCGTCGTCGTCGTCGTCGCAGTCGTAGTCGTAGTCGTAGTCGTAGCAGTAGTAGTAGAAGAAGAGTAGTAGACGTAGTGGTATAAGAATTAGTCGTAGTAGTGGTAGTAGTCGTAGTAGTAGTAGTAGTAGTAGTAGTAGTAGTAGTAGTAGTAGTAGTAGTAGTAGGAGTAGGAGTAGGAGTAGGAGTAGGAGTAGGAGTAGGAGCAGGAGTAGGAGTAGGAGTAGGAGTAGGGGTAGGAGTAGGAGTAGTAGTAGTAGTAGTAGTATTATTATTAGTAGTATTAGTAGTAGTGTTAGTGGTAGTCGTAGTAGTAGCAGTACTAGTGGTAGTCGTCGTCGTCGTAGTCTTAGTCGTAGTCGTAGTCTTAGTCGCAGTCGCAGTCGTAGTCGCAGTCGCAGTAGTAGTAGTAGTAGTAGTAGTAGTAGTAGTAGTAGTAGTAGTAGTAGTGGTAGTAGTAGTAGTAGTAGTAGCAGCAGTAGTGGGAGTAGTAGGTGCTGGTGTTGTTGTTCCAGGGGCGGAGGGAAGGAGGACAGAGGAGGGAGGGAGGAGGAGGGGGGGATCGATTTCGAACATACGAAGTTGTAAACCCATCACATTCCTTTTCGAGCAACCTATCAAGTCAAAAAGGTTTTCTAGTCCTCGTTTGGGGGGGGGCATCTCGGGCAGTTTCAGGCGATAGTAAGCCCCGTTGGGGGAGGGAAGATAGTAGACGTAGTCACAGTAGTTGTTGATACTGAGAGACATGTTGATGTATCAGTACGTTTCGCACTCGTAGCCGTAGTAGTAGTAGTAGTAGTAGTAGTAGTAGTAGTAGTAGTAGTAGTAGTAGGAGTAGTAGTCGTAGTAGTAGTAGTAGTAGTAGTAGTAGTAGTGGTGGTGGTAGTGGTACTGGTAGTGGTAGTGGTACTAGTAGTAGTAGTAGTAGTCGTCGTCGTAGTAGTAGTCGACGTGGTAGTAGTAGTAGTAGTAGTAGTAGTAGTAGCCATAGTAGTAGTAGTAGCAGTAGTAGTAGTAGTAGTAGTAGTAGTAGTCGTAGTAGTAGCGATCGTAGTAGTAGTAGTAGCAGTAGTAGTAGTAGTAGTAGTAGTAGTAGTAGTAGTAGTAGTAGTAGTAGTAGTAGTAGTAGTAGTAGTAGTAGTAGTAGTAGTAGTAGTAGTAGTAGTAGTAGTAGTAGTAGTAGTAGTAGTAGTAGTAGTAGTAGTAGTAGTAGTAGTAGTAGTAGTAGTGGTCGTAGTAGTAGTAGCAGTAGTAAAAGTAGTAGTAGTAGTAGTAGTAGTAGAAGATAAAGTAGTAGTAATAGTAGTAGTAGTAGTCGTAGTAGTAGTAGTAGTAGTAGAAGTAGAAGTAGTAGTAGTTGTTAAAGTAGTAGTAGTAGTCGTAGTAGTAGTAGTAGTAGTAGTAGTAGTAGTAGTAGTAGTAGTAGTAGTAGTAGTAGTAGTAGTGGTGGTAGTAGTAGTAGTAGTAATAGTAGAAGTAGAAGTAGAAGTAGTAGTAGTAGCAGTAGTAGTAGGAGGAGTAGGAGTAGGAGTAGTAGTAGTAGTAGTAGTAGTATTAATAAAACCATATGTATAAGTATACGTAGAAGAGTAGCATTAGAAGTAGCAGTGGTAGTAATAGTCGTGGTCCAGCCGTAGTCGTAATATGTGGTGTTCTCGATGATGAGATGATATTCAGGATCTGGTTGATGACGCTGATGCAGTAAGACGATTCAACCTACGATTCGCATTTTCCCTGGTACTGATGACGTTCGGCGCCGCCGCTCCCCACCGCCGGCCAACGTTGAGAACTGGCCAGAGATCGTCAACAATCAGATTTGAAGAGGGATATTTTTTCCATCTGGGGCATGCCGTTAGTTGGGGGAGCAGGATGGGCAGGAGCAGGAGCACTGCGCGCAGGAGAAGAGGGAACACGAGGAGCAGCAGGGGCGGGGGAGGGACATGAGGAGCAGGGATGAGCAGGAGGAGCAGGAGGAGCAGGAGGAGCAGGGAGAAGGAGAAGGAGGAGAGGGAGGAGGGGCAGGAGGAGCTGGGAGGGCGAGAGGAGGAGGCCCGCGCAGAGGCTGCGCGAGCTGGCAGCTGACCCTGGTGGCCAGCATCGCTCGGTGGACCGTGCCCTAAAGCCGCTGTGGGACGACGTGCCCCCAGACGCCCCGAAGCAGAAGGATCACGAGCCCTCAACACCCCGGCTCCTCCTCCTTCTCCCTCTCCTCCTCCTGCTCCTCCTCCTCCCTCCTCCCTCCTCCCTCCTCCTCCTCCTCCTCCTCCTCCTCCTCGACCTCCTCCTCGTCCTCGTCATCATCATCATCATCATCATCATCATCATCATCATCATCATCATCATCATCATCATCATCATCATCATCATCATCATCATCATCATCATCATCCCCCTCCTCCTCCTCGTCCTCCTCCTCCTCCTCCTCCCTCCTCCTCCTCCCCCTCCTCCTCCTCCTCCTCCTCCTTCTCCTTCCCCGCCTGCTCCTGCTCCTGCTCCTCCTGCTTCTGGCAAGTCCTTGGGCGACGAGGTATCTGCTTTTCCGCTGTTCGTCGGTGCGCGCGCCATCGGGCCCGCTTCCTAACGCAATGGTCAGGCGATCGCAAACATGGATCAAGGGGGCGTAGATTAGCAACGGGTCCCGCTTCCATTGGAAATCGCGGATTTCCGCCGCCGAGCGAGGCGGCGCCGGCCGCATTGCGGGGAGGGCACCTCCCCCGACCCATGGATTTGGCGACCGCGCGCCAAATCCACGGATCGCTAATCCATGTTGTTTGCGCGCCCCCGATTCTGGCAAATTGACGGGCGGCGAGGTATCTGCCTTTCCCCTGTTCGTCGGTGCGCGCGCCATCGGGCCCGTCTCCTCCCACAATGGGGAGGCCAGGGCTGCCTGCCACTGCGGCCCGCCTGCGTGCGATGAGCACCGCTCGCGTCCTGGATCCATGACTCCATGACTCTTTTTATCATCCGTGTCCTCATCCTCGCCCTCGTCATGCTCGTCCTTCTCGTCTTTCGTCGGTGTTCGCTCTCTTCTCCAGCTCGCCACGGCCGCGTGTGGGTCGCGATCGTAAGCGTTTCGTTGTTCAGCGGCATAGCCAGTCACGTCCTTGCTCAGGGTGTTGAATCGGGGCAGCGCTTTTTGACCGTAGCCCCGCCCTGCCACACGTGTGCTTACAGCGTGGGTTTTAATACCTTCTCCGCGTGCGGATCATGTATTCGAAATAAAGGGATGTAGTATCAAAAACGATGAAAGTATGCATTGATGCATTAGTAACTGAATCATGTATTGAAAATCCAATGTATTAAAAATCCTATGTATTAAAACCTGCCCTGTATATACCACACACACATCGGAGTTTGGGGGGTGAGCCTGGACTTGAACGTGAGTTGGCCCAGCCGGGGAATCGTTACGTTTGGGTCGTGATGTGCGTGCGGGTTCCTGCCCTTGTCAAAGCTGGGCATCTCATCCAAGACCCGCGCTCCCCCCAACGCTCAAACCTGCTCATGCCCCCTCCAATTCCACCTCTTCGTCCTCTTGGTCCTTCCTATTCCGATGGCGTGGCGCGGATGTGGGTGGAGGGTTGCACGAGAGACAGCCGATGGGAGCAGGTCTTGTCGGATCTGCGAGCAGTGTGCCGTCAGACCAAGCGGGACCCCAGATGAGAAGGGAGTGCCGGTGGGTGGGCGGGCGGTTTGGGCAGCTTGGGTGGAAGATGGATAGGGAGAGGTTTGGGTGTTGCCGAAGGCCAAGGTCCCCAGAATGTCCAGCGAGGCCCCCACGGTCTCCAGAGTACTTCTCAAGAGGCCCAGGGGCCCCCCAGGGGCTTCAACACGGAGCGAAAAACTGGCAATAGGTTGGGCCGATGACCTTTTTGGCAACGCCCGAAGGGTGGGTTCTGGCAAAACATCGGTGCGAA